CCCCCGACCTTCCTTTGGTCACCCTCGCTCACCACCCTTACTCCTGTGACCTTCCTATGGTCACCCTCGCCACCCTTACCCCTCTGTCCTTCCTTTGGTCACCCCTCATGACCCTTACCCCTCTGTCCTTCCTTTGGTCACCCCTCACAACCCTTACCCTACTTTCAAGCTCTTATTCTCCTAACACTAGTGGACAGATTATCCGTCTGTCTCTGGCGTAGTAGCTCCCACACCAAATGGGTTCCAACTTACTACAAAAGTACTACTTTGTGTGATATATTTATCTAGAAAAACAGAATCTTTTACTAGTGTAGCAGAACTGGACTGGGTCAACCGTCTGGGACCAGGTAGCTTGATTGGAAGAGTGTCTGTCTAGAGTTTAGAGGGTCCCGGTCTGGCCATGCATTTTTTCACTCCTATTACACTAGTATTACTTTGTGTTATTCACTGGGTATGAGAAAAAGAATAATATTCTTCCTTGTGTTATTCACTGGGTATGAGAAATAGAATAATATACTTCTTTGTGTTATTCACTGGGTACGAGTATAGAATAATATACTTCCTTGTGTTATTCACTGGGTATGAGAAATAGAATAATATACTTCTTTGTGTTATTCACTGGGTATGAGAAATAGAATAATATTCTTCCTTGTGTTATTCACTGGGTATGAGAAATATAATAATATAATTCTTTGTGTTATTCACTGGGTATGAGAAATAGAATAATATAATTTTTTGTGTTATTCACTGGGTACAAGAAATATAATAATATTCTTCCTTGTGTTATTCACTGGGTATGAGAAATAGAACAATATACTTCTTTGTGTTATTTACTGGATATGAGAAACAAAATAATATACTAATTTTTGGTAATTTACTGGATATGAGAAATAGAAAAATATACTTCCTTGTGTGTTTCACTGGGTATGAGAAATAGAATAATATAATTCTTTGTGTTATTCACTGGGTATGAGAAAAATAATAATATTCTTCCTTGTGTTATTCACTGGGTATGAGAAATAGAATAATATACTACTTTGTGTTATTCACTGGATATGAGAAACAAAATGATATACTAATTTTTGGTAATTTACTGGATATGAGCTAGAGAGCCAGAATCCTACTATTTTGTGTGATATTCTGGGTAAGAGAATTCTTATGCAGATGATAACTCATTTAGTTCCCATAGTTTGATTGTTTTTTCAAAATTCATATATATCCATCATTGAAGAAAGAAGTTCATAAAGTACATTTGAGTTGGCTGATCAGAATGGGTTAGATGATTGTCAGATTCTGCAAATATTTCATTTTAATGAGGTTGCTTCATTCTAATTGGTGGACAATATTTGTGTAATCACTCTGTAATTTCTGTGTAAGACAAGACGTTTTTTCGTCAAAACTTTGTTATCAGATTGACGCCTATGATGGTAAGAATGCACTTAGTGGGACCCTATGCTGACCTGTATGGTGTTCTTAAGTGTAATTTTGTACAAGAAAGCACTTCGTGTAATTTACTGAGTAGGAGGAAAAAAAATGTATATATCTATATAGACATCCAAATATTTAAATTTCAATAAAGAAAAATGTTTGGAATGTTGAACCGATGGAACAGCTGTGTGTAATACTTGCATATCAATATAACAAAGCAGTCTGCACAAAATTAGTGATAATTTAACATGCATAATAAGAAACACTTTTTTTTATTTATTAATTTGTAACAGTGTAATGGGGTTTTTGAATTGTATAAACATCTGTTATTGATAGGAACAACGCAATGTTTAATTCGTTAACCATGTTACCATATCTATGCATGGTGTACGTGATTCTTCTGTCACTATACTTCTATAATGATCACCAAATAAACTGGGTAGAGATTACTAAGAGTGGTTGGAGACCATGCAATTGTAAATATGAATATAGTTATAGGTTGAGTGTGTGGATTTTGTCTAAATATTGTGAAAGTAACCAGAAAAAATGACCTGATTTTATTTGAATATGTTGTGCAATGTTTCAAACTTATTAAGTGAAATATTTTTAAACTAAATAAAAGCTGGAGAATAAAACTGTAAACCAGCCTATAAAAAGTAGCTTGACTGATGTGTTTGTATATACAGTGTCTAGTCTGACATACTAAATGATGCAAGGGGAGATAATCCAAGACATTTTACATTGATAAAACCCCCATTAATAATTGATAAGCCTTGTTGTAGAACAGGTGTGAAGAGTCCTGATACCGACTGGCCTTGATAAGTAGACATGAACTGACATGATACTAGTAACCTATACATTTTAAATTTGACTTGATCCTATTAAATCACCTAGGTTTTACAGTCGAATTTTCGGAGAGAGAAAAAATCAAGCAAGAAGAAAAAATGGAATCGGAGGGAATGTCTGAATACAAAAACTGTTCCTATAAAAATGCATGAAATCTTGACTGCAACTTTTTTGTCTGTAAATACAGGTAAGAGGAAAGGGTTTAAAAAAAATCCAGCCGATGGAGAATTGGATGAGAACTAGATGTGCCGATAGATTATTTAAGCTTGTTGTATGTTGGTGTCCTGTGGATATTCTAATCACATAAAGTCACTGTACCAGTTTTATACTCATTGATGCTAAATCTAACCCCGTGCCAATTTTCTGCTTAGCCAGCTGTAAAGCCGGCGTGATTAACTCACAGTACCTTGGTAATTAGGCTGTAAGTACACATCAGGAACAAGTTGTCTTAGCTTCACTAACTTAATCATACATGAAGTCAAATTCTGAGTTTTTTTAAAATTACTCAATCGCAAATTAACCTGTCTCATCCTGTCTTTAATATGATGATGTTTTTTAAATCCCAGAGTATGTCTTTAAAATCAAACTTGCAAAGCAAAATGTTCAACTCAGCAGGAAAGAAACAAAAATGTTTACGGGTTCTTTTTAATACCCCTGCTATTTTATTGAGAGGATGTGGGGGGGGGGATGTTGGAACAAAAGTGTTACCAATGTCATGACCACCCTGTTCTGTCATAATTCATTGTCATGGCTCAAAGAGCATTTCTTTAGAGATTTTGTCTAAATTGGAATCAAAGTCAGGAAGAGGAAGACTTCAAATAAATTTGTATTTCAGGATCCCAAGGTATAGGACTGTTTCCATATACAACTTCTAGTTATCCTAGGAGGCATTATGGGGGGCCCTGCAGAATCAGGGTTTTTTTTGGTGCATTTTCCTGATGGAACGTTGAAAAAACAAATTTGATCTACTGCCCCAAATTGCCATTTCAATATTTAGGACCTATGTGACTTTTTTGTCTTATGTTAATTTTTTGCGGTGTACTTCTAAGCTTCAAATCAACAAATTTTCCTTCAACTGACCCTTGTTCTCTAAACCAAACAATGAAAAACTCGGCATAAATGTTTTGCAATACAATTTATATGAGAGAACTTTGTACATCAACATGGATGTCTTTGGGATATTATATGGTTCTGTAATCCCTATAGTATTATCAGTAAAGTCTATGGGAGAGTAGATAGTTCTGTCATCCATATTAGTATTAGCAAAGACGTCTATGGGAGAGTTTTTGGTTATGTTATTCTTGAAGTATTAGCATTGATTTTTATGGGAGATTGTATGGTTTGGTATTGATGTCTATGGGAGATTGAATGGTTTTGTATTGTTGTCTATAGGATATTGTATGGTTTGGTATTGATGTCTATGGGAGATTGTATGGTTTGGAATTGATGTCTATGGGAGATTGTATTGTTTTGTATTGTTGTCTATGGGAGATTGTATGGTTTTGTATTGATGTCTATGGGAGATTGTATTGTTTTGTATTGTTGTCTATGGGAGATTGTATGGTTTGGTATTGATGTCTATGGGAGATTGAATGGTTTTGTATTGTTGTCTATAGGATATTGTATGGTTTGGTATTGATGTCTATGGGAGATTGTATGGTTTGTTATTGATGTCTATGGGAGATTGTATGGTTTGGTATTGATGTCTATGGGAGATTGTATGGTTTTGTATTGTTGTCTATGGGAGATTGTATGGTTTGTTATTGATGTCTATGGGAGATTGAATGGTTTTGTATTGTTGTCTATAGGATATTGTATGGTTTGGTATTGATGTCTATGGGAGATTGTATGGTTTGGTATTGATGTCTATGGGAGATTGTATGGT